GCGGTAGGGTAGCCTAGTGGTTAAAGCGTTGGCTCGTCACGCCGAAGACCCGGGTTCGAATCCCCACATGGGTACAATGTGTGAAGCCCATTTCAGGTGTCCCCCGCCGTGATGTTGCTGGAATATTGCTAAAAACTCAGTCAGTCCATATGCATACAACAGACGTGCAGCATGTCGTCATTATTGTATATAGAACATTGCTTTCGAGTGTGACTTTGTGTTTAAAATGGACTTAAAGAGTCAGTAGAGTGAGATGGGTCTCTCACAACGTGTCAACTTGGTGTGGGGGGAATGCTCGCAGTGATCCATATTTTAACGTTTCACATTCACGTAAAACCCACGAGGGTGGGTATTGTAATGGCTTAGCAACATCACCACTGAGGATCTGGGATTCGATTTCCCAGTTTGTTAGGTTTCTTGGCGCTGGAAAGAATGACCCCTGATGTAAATCTGTGTATGGGAAGGAGAGATGGTCTGTGGAATTTGGGCATGACGAAAAAACACAACGTCTGAAACACTGTAGATTCGACCTTGTCTCAGTCCAGCTGAAGTATGTTGGTGGGGATATTTTGACGCAGCTTTGGACAGTATTCCAGTTATATCACGGTGTGTCGTCTTGACGTGGGAGGGGAGCCCGGAGTAAGGTAGACTTCAGTTATTTTCCCCTTAGTGAAACCCATGAAAGTCTATGATAAATAGGGGCGGTGGGGTAGCCTATAGCTAGTGGTTAAAGCGTTCGCTCGTCACACCGAGGACCCGGGTTCGATTCAGTACATGGGTACAATGTGTGAAGCCCATTTTCGGTGTCCGCCGTGATGTTGCTGGAATATTGCTAAAAGCGGCTTAAAACCATAGTCACTCACTGACTATGTTATATATTGACGCTAAGACTGTTTTTTACAATGATACCTGTTTGACAGAACAGCAGCCACGGCCGTGGGTTTCATCGGTTTGGTAGGGTTGGCAGCTGATAACAGCTGACTATAATGATTCCGTGGTGTAGTGGTTAGAGCGTCCGCCCGGCAGTCACCTATTGGATAATAAACTACGTCGCTTGTCAAACCGAAATTATTTGCGGGCAGGTCAGTTTTGGTCAGGACTGGCAAGTTTTACATCTAACCAGCCCTGTGGTCTGGCTGAAATTTTTGGGAGTTTCATACCCTGCCTTATTGACTGAATCCAGTATGACTAAATTGGAAGATCGGGTTTTGAGCCGATTTCTGTAAACGTGTCATGCTATTTTAAGCAGTGTAAATACTTGATTACACGTTCACAGACTGTCCACTCAAAGTCAGGTGTTACTGGGAGGTCTTTGTTGACCAATGTTGACATTAAGCAAACTGTAATGTTCTCTTGAGGAAATAATCAACATGAAAAGTAAATGACAACACTAAATGTGTTGTTGTTTTTCAAAACATCTTCAACTCCTGGTGTTGTTACGTAATGGTAATAGTCCGCTTATATGGCGCTCATATCCAGGCACATTGCCTGCTCACGGCGCTGCGTACATTACTATCCCCGGTCATAGGACATTATCGTACTTTCCTACTTTCCGATACTTTTTCAACTCCCTGGGGATCATACAGCCATGCTGCCTGTTAGGCGCAATGAACTTAACACTCACATTGCCAGCACATCCTCACGGGTACCCATTTTACAGCTGGGTGAACCGAGACAATGTGGATCTAAGTATCTTGTCCAAGGATACTACGCAAATGTGCCCACCTCGGGACCCGAACCTAGGTGCCTCCACCGGGGATCGAACCCGGACCTTCAGCGTGATAGGCAGACGCCTTACCACTGCACTACTGCGCTCCACAAGTAGATATCCAATGAACCAAATGACTATATGGCTTGTATTTCTTCATGAATAAAACATCCTCGAGATTTGTATATCAGCAGAACATAAAACGTCAACCAGTCTCGATTAACCGTTGAAACAGACACCACAGGGCGTTAAAGTGGAAGAACAGGACAACTGGAGTGAGTGAGTGAGTGACAGCAGGTGTTCGCGAAAGATCTGATATTCAAAGATCTGAATCAACCATCCAGCGCATGCACTCACGACCATGCCCACGCCCTCTCCCATGCCCACGCCCACGCCCTCTACCAGGCCCAGGCAAAGAGAACAGAACCAGTTACACAGTTGCAATCTGAAACTTTGCACGGTTGATCCCAGCAATAGTGTCTTTTCGATGACCGATCCAATTTTAAAAGGTTGTATTCCACACTGTTCACCCAGAAACACCAATGAACCACTGGAACTTGGCGAAGGTGCTTTTCACACTGTACTACATAGATTACAGCGTACAATACGTCAAACCAGACTCCACTGTTGATATATCTACGGTCGAACATTGGTTAGTTGAGTGTGTGGTTAATTTCTTAAGATAGTGGACTGTACACTTAAGTTGTATTATTTTCATATACAAGATAACACACGAAAAGGGCTTCACATGTACCCATGTGGAGATTCGAACCACCGCCTTCGGTGGTCAGGACGAGCGGACGCCTAACCATGAGGCTACACCAAAACTCAAGTTGACCAAGGTTCATTTGTGTTGGAGGAATAGGTGTTTCAGTAATACAAGGGACGGAATGTGCTGTGAAGAGTTGATTCTTTTGGCGTTCCAGTATCTTCTAATATTCGGTTCGAATTCCAGTTTCACCCCGCTTTTGATCACCCTTCTGTCGACCTCTTTGAGTTGTTTCACTTTTCGATTTACCCACCTTCTCACCTTAAGGGACCAACTATTTGATGTAAATCAGTGAGTTTTAGTTTTGCAATCAAAGGAAGCACTAAACTGGGTCAGCTAACTAATACGTAACATGGCCCACAGAATATGTCACTGCACTCACGAATGTCCTCAATGTGTCATTGTAATATGTCTTGCAAGAGGCCAAAGCTCAGTTTTATAATCCGGAATATTTTTTAAAGCTGGCAGGAATTCGATAGAGGAATCCAAACCACCCTTGGCAAATTGATAACATGCAACTCAGGTCTCGAATCTCACTCGTATTCCCTTTACATTGGTGAAGCCAGCCCTCTAGACACTGTTTTACCCTATAACTTCTTGAATGATCAAGTCTGTCAATGTTGTCAGCAACCAAGGGAGTGAACTCTAAATCACACGACCGTATACAATGCCTTATACAAAACATCCTTTTATTGAATTTATCTTCTTTAAGTGGCATTTATGGGGTCGCTGTGATTACAATCGTTGCCACAGACTCGAACTTGATCACCAAATTGGTAAAGTAAATGCAGAAGCGCATTCATCCTGATGATGAACACTTGATTCTTTGCATCGCTCTTTAGCATATATTGCTGAAGAGTTCCAAATAGTTGCAAAAGTAGGGCAGTAACATCACTGCGTTTCAGTTGGATGTGGTAGGACGAAACGAAATTCGAATACAGGTTCCTGGCATGCCTAAGGGACATAACTCTGCATAGCGAATTGCCGCACCTTACACAACCGTGCCACCTGTGACCCTCTTGGTAGCTGAAGCTACCACTCCTTGAGCTAGTGTATATGTGTAACTTGACCAGGTCACACTAATGTGTTCATTGGTCCGTTCCTGTCAAGATTTTGACGTTGTAAATAGTGTAAAGATCAGACTCAACATTCTGATAGTCATTACCAGCTTTGATGTTTGAACGACTTGATTCAAACTTGTTCATGCCCGGGGATTGTCTCAAAATATTCTTGTTGATTTTAGCTACTGGTGTTTTGGTTTTTCGTTAGGAAAATATTCAGTTCATTATCTTATTCCAGTTCAATAACTTTCCCCGTGCTATTGTTTGCATTAATTAATAGAAGCATGTAAGACCAAATAAACGACAAAGTTATTGACTCAACGAAGATCTATTTTGAGACAGCCCGGCAATGAACCACGTCAATGGAATCACCTTGAGGTAAGGAGTTGAAATAGGACGAAGAGTTATCTTATTTTTCATATACCTTTTATTCTGTACAAAAAGATACAAAATTATGATATTTGACATACATTTGTATATTTAAACAATGAGAGATCGAAGCTTTATAGTACAAAATCTCTCGCGTACAAATCATAGTTACCTTTAAAAGGCCTTAAATCACATTATACGCCACAAAGCTTTTGACAACATCAATTAGGTCCATTTTCGAAACAAAATGTAGAAAACTGAAAATTTCAATATGCAAACCATTACATAGTTTGGTTTTGCTATATTTAGTACAAACAGAACTGGTAAAAAACAATCTGAGAGGTATTCTGTTCTGAAAATGGACCATTATGTTAAAGATATTTGTGGACAACAAGAAACATTCTTTCTCATCACACTCACTCACTCTTTGTCGCCTTTCAAATCAATCGCTAAGAACTCTCATATCGCCTACACATGTAGAGACAGTTACAAAATCTAGAATACGATTAAATATGATCAGTGTAGAAAAATACTAAAGCTTTTCATGGACACTGAGACAGTCGTTCCCTTTTCTATATAAAAACATGTCGACAAACACGTATGTACAATATATTTACGAAACACGTTGGTGTATTTCGAGAACCATTCCTTCAGATCGAATGATACCTATACTAGCAATGACTCTATATTTGCAGGCAGAGCAGCTATCATGGACAAGATTTGCTTAGCTGTTCTATGGCTACAGTTTAGGATATAAAATCTATTGCTGCAAACGATGATAAGGCATCAGTTATATTTTATCCGTTTGTCTTTATCGTGGAGCAGTGTTAGAGAAGGGTTGTATTCTTGCTTTAATTTTGACGAGGCCTGTCCCAGAAAGTCTATGAAGTTCGTTTTCACACCATGGGAGGCCCGTCGGTCACATCTTAACTATCACAATTGATTGTGACGGGACCACACCTCATGTCAGTCAACGTATTGTCTTTGAATGCACACACGGCTCACAGTTTACTGTGATACAGGGCGGACCTCTTTGCTGTCCCTCCATCTGGAGTAGTGCCTCCAGTGACGGAGGTACCATTTAATGAGGTCACTAAGGGAAATGAAAGACTTTCTTCGTGGTTCCTTTAGATCCTCCTATAGCGAGCCTACCATCAGTTGAAGATGTGTCCATCACTGCTGTCAGCGTTGACGTCATCTTGCTGGATTCAGAGCTAGTGTTGGTTGATTCTGTGACGTCATCGGAAGTGTCGTCTGCGGCTGTCGTCTGTTCGCTTTCAGTGTCGTTACTCGTGGTTGTTGAAGTTTCGATTTCAGTGACAGTTGTTGTGTTTGTTGCATCGACTTTGATTTCGGATTCTGTTGTATTTGTGGCGATTTCAATTTCTGTGGTATTTTCGGTTTCGGCTTCGGTAACATTGACTGTCACAGCAACAGTTACTGCTTCTTGTTTTGTGGCATTAACTGACAGAGGGAGGTGTTTCTCATCAACTTCTACAACTGATTTATCGTCCTTAGATATGGCATTGTCAGAAGGCACTGCTTCGTCTTTAGCGGATTTCCCTGCAGCATCTTTAGCGATAGGTTCAGCAGTAGTTGTTGTTACAGTTTCAGTGACGTTCACTGCAGGTGTGGTTGTTGTCGTAGTCGTTGCAGTTGTTGTGGTTGTAGATGTTTCGGCTTCTGCTTTTTCAGTTACATTGACAGACTCAGTAGCATTTGTGGCAAGCACCGTTGTTGTTTCACTGTCTTTGTTCTCGCCTTCTGTTTCGGTAACTTCGATCTTCTCCGTTGTAACTGACTCTACAGAGGTAGTGGTCTCTTCTGTCTTGTTCTCGGCTGTTGTAGAGCAATTGTTCTTCTCAGTACACAGATCAGAGACATCCTTCAGAAGTGGTACTGCTTTGACAGTTGCTTCTTCTGCTTTGGTTACGACATCGGCAGACTCAGATGTGTTGACAGCTTCTGATTCTGCCACAGTCGTTGTCTCATTAACATTAGCTTGTGTCGTTGTTGAAGTAGTTGTAGATTCTGTGGTGGTTGATGAAGGTGCGGCAGATTTTATGTCAGTGGTGGTTGAGTTGATTTCTTTTGTCTCAGTCGTATTGGAATCTGCAACTTCGTTGATGACTTCAGCTTCAGTTTCATTCTGTGAAACATCAGCGACTTCTGTTACGTTCTCGGGTTTTTGTGTAGTTTCAGGTTCAGCTGGTTTTGCCTCATCTTTCATGATCAGGTTGGTAATGGTGTTTTCAGTATCATATGCAGAAACCTCAACTTCGCCAGATGACTCAATTTCTTCTGCTTCAGTTTCAGTCTCTTCGACCAGAGTACCTTTGGACTTTTTACCTTCTTTGTCAGCGATGGCCCACTTATCAAACACATCACTACCGCCGATCTCGGTATCCTTTGTCATCTTGCTCTTGTCATATGTTGCATCAACCATGTTGTCAGGGTATTCCTCGCTGGCTTGTCTGGCTACCAAATGTTTACTCTGCATGGCGTCATTCAACATCTTCATCATGAACTTCTCAATTTCAACATCTTCAACGTTGTCGGTGTTATGGTAATCTTTGGCATACATGGACTGTTGGTTGGCTGCGAATCTGTCGGATGCAAGGAATGGGTCGCTGGCTGGTGGAGCATCTTGATGGATCTTCCTTGGGTGACTGCGTTCACGTTCCTCAGCAGAACCGAAATCGAAAGAAGGAGCTCTTGATGTAACTTTGGGAAGTGCTGTGGTGCTGTTTTCAGCCTTCATTGTGTTGGTATCATTGCTTGCGGAACTGGTGTTATCGATGTCGTCCAGGGTTACAGAGTCATTAGACGAAGAGGTTGAGTTGGAGGTTGTGATGGTTGCGTTGGTGTCGAGTGAGCTAGTTTCGGATTCTGAAGATGGAGCTTGGCTTGTGGTGGTAGGATCACTTTCGGTAGATGAATCAGTCTTCACTGTGGTGTCTTCAGAGCCTTCGCTCATATTGTCCCAGATGCTCTTGGAAGAAGGAGTAGGGGCTCCTGTAGTTGAGGATGAGCTGGAGCTGGAGCTGGTGCTGGAGCTGGACGAAGATGGGGCATCAGAGGTCACAACTTCGAGTTTCTTTTCAGCCTGGGCCTTCTTTCCATTTGAGAAAAGTTCAAGTCGGTCGAGTTCAGATCCCTGTTTGTCACTATTGGTGTAGAAGAGGTCAAAGTTCCAATCCTTCCACGTAGATCTGGTCTCAGAGGCTCGGGTCTCGTACACCCAGCTGTCAGTGGAGGTAGATGGGGTTGATGGAGTGGTGGACTCAGTTGTTGCTGTTGTTGTTGTCTGCTCTGTAGTGGTGGTGGTTGTGTCATCTACGGATGAGGTTTCAGGGGCAGCTGAGGAGGCCAACCTGTGTCCATATCTGTCAAAAGAGCGAACGGTCACGGCGATTTTCTCAGTGGCGTGAGCTGTAGTGGAATCAACGTCTTCATCGTATTTCACCTTTCTTACGTCATTCTCAATCGTCTCAAGGAATGGAATCTTCTCGGTGGTGGATTCGGTGGTCTTGACTTTATTGATCTTATTGACCTTGCTGTCTCGGCTGTCCTCATCAACTTTATTGACATTATTGATTGAGTTGAGGGTCTGGGGGTGCATGCGGCGTCTCATGTTGTTGAAAGCGAAGTAAGTCTTGGCGCGGTAACCTTGGATACAGTTGACGTTATGGGGCCAGTTGCAGACGAGGTTCTGAGAATCAAAGAACAGACCGGGAGGACATTTCTTCTGGAATGGACGCCAGTTGTTGCAGTGGTAGAAGGTGTGGCAGTTGTCGGGGTCGGTGACGTAGGCGAACGCAGAGGTACACCGCACTTTGCCGGAATCTCTGTCGATTCCTGAAAGTATTTAACAAAATGGCTTCATTGCTGCTCTACGATAGAACAAGAGGGCAAGGCGTTTGGGGGGCAAAGTCATTATTGAATTATCTGTTGCAATGTCAGTTCAAAAGCAATACTATTTAGCAACATTAGAAATTAATCATCTCAAGTATATTTAACAATGAACAATGAAACTTTTGCATAGAAAGTTGCATATTAGAATTATGATGTTTCATCATGCTTGTGCGATGTCTTTCAAAATTTTACTTTGGACGGAAAATTTTAATCAGGTTCTGTGTACAAAATAACTGGATATTTTAAGGGGAGGAGCACAATCTACGCTTTATTACATACCTGTTTGCGGCCAGAGATAAAAGCGTAACCTGTTAAATGAATAGCTTTGGCGTCTGCCCACATGTTAACAAGCAGCAATGAAATTGTAGTGACGAATGACATGCAGTTTTGAAAAAATAAAACTTATTTATAAATAATAATATAACATTAAAACCGTTATATTTAATTACGATCATATAAAATATTCTTTCACGCCTATTTGATATGATGGTACAGTTACTGGTTGTAAATGCCTGGTGGTTTGGATGTTATGCAACGAACTTAATTTCTTGATTTGATTTAAGCAATATCGATGATTAAGTAAAGTTTACGCCGAGTTTTGCAGTATTCCAGACGTATCACGGCGGGGGTACTAGAAATGGCTCTCACACATTGTACCAAAGTTGAGGAACCAGGTCTATGGCGTCACAAACAAACGCAATAATCACTAGGTTACACAAGTATGGATGATACAAGTGAACTATCAAGCTATTGATGCAAAGGCTTAGAAAGCATTTGTGCTGTAAAAGCGTTAGGGTGACAATACTCTATTCACAACTTACTGTTGTCCTCAAATGGGGACCGTTTAAGAACACTGTGCTTGGGAGCCTGTGTTTCAGGCTTGGTTTCGACCTCCTTCTTGTCTACTGTTTTGAAGGACTCGGTGGTCTCGTTGACAACAAGGGGAGTGCTGGTTTCATCTTTCTCAGTCTCGCTGCTCTCGGTGCTGTTACCATCAGTGGGGTTCTCACTGGCGCGCATGTCAGTTGTATTGGCGGTCTCGGTGGTATTTCCGTTAGATTTCTCAGTCGAGAAGTCGACTGTGGTTGTGGCGGCGGAGGAGGTTTCTACGTTACTATCATCCTTCACGGTTTCAATCTTATTTGGTGTCTTGGTCTCGAGTGTTGTCTTAGCTTCAGTGGTCGTCTGCTTACTGGCGGAAGTCGTCTGCTCAACCTTGGCCGTCGACGTTTCAGTTGCTTTGTTGGTCTGGACCGTCTTCTTGGATGTCTTCTGTGAATCAGTCGTTGTGCTCTTCTGGGCGTTGCTTGCAGCTGCTCTTGATGTTGATGCATCCTGCTTGGCCATTGGAGCGACAACGTTATCATCTTCGGCGTCAAAGATTTGAGGGATGCAGGATCGAGATGAGTCCCAGACGCAGACCTTTGCTTTGGGTTCGAAGACGAGACCGTTGGGGCAGGATTTGACAAAGAAGCGTCCATCAGTTAGGCAGTGGTAGTACTTGCGGCAGTCTTTAGGGTCGGCGATCAAAGCCTGGTTCATTACCTTAGGGCAGTGAAAGGATACCGTGACCTGTATCACTGCAACAAAAGGAGAAACCAGTTTATTTGTTGAAAACAGTGTTAGAATATTCATGAGTGGGTAATAGGAGGTTGAAGTCGTAGTTACTTGTATGCAAATTTATACGTTTGTATAAATGAGGCAAATTTGTAAGCGATTTGTTGAAGGTTGTTTTTGAAAGAAATCCCAATGCTAATATATACCACTTTGTTAGACAAATGATTCCTGAACTCACGAACAGCGGATCCTGCCAAGGCAAATGGGACAATTATGTACGTGTGAAATATTTACTGTATACTGACATACACTGTATGGAAGTAAAACTTATCCTTTTTTGAATGTGCAACTACAGTAAATTTATTCTATTTTCATTCATTTATTTATTATTGTTATGTGATTCAGCAGTGATGCTGACGGTACAACACGCGCACATATGTGCACTACTGAACAAGTGAGTAATGCAAACTAGTCTTCATGAAGAATATTAATGTAATACTTTAATTAGTATTACAAAGTCCATCCAATGTTTAGAAGGGCCAACCTGAAGATCCTTCAAACACGGATGCCCTTACGAATACTGTTTGCATAGCTTTCCATACTGGACGAGGAAGCCCAACCTTAAGACTACAAAGCTACAACTATTTTTCAGATTTGGCACCAACCTAGTACCTGGTCCTCCCGTCTGCGTGCTACTGCCAATATAAACATGTCCAAGAACCCAGCCGAAATATACTACGCAAGTCACATCGAGGCTTATTCGGCTCACATTGAGGCTTACTCGGCTCATATCGAGGCTTAACCTGCATCTGTCGAGTCACCTGGTTTCAAGGCTAAACTCTACCGGTGTTGAACACGTGCCAGATATTGATAGAACAGTAAAAGATCCTACGTGTTTCGAGATTGTGTTAACCTAATGGTAAGTACGACAAGGATAGTCTTTATGACTGTTGAAAACTAGCCAACTATAGGTATTTGGCAACAGTACTGGGTGTTTTGAGAAGGTAATTAAGTCATAAACATGAATACTGAATAGAGAAACAAAAATTTGGGATTTTCTAGACAATTTGTATTTTAGTTATTAATCGGGTTATATATTTCCTTTTCTTCATTAACATTCTGCCTTCCGTATTTATGTTTCATTATGTTTAAACAAAGTCTGAATTTAATACCGCCATATAGCTGGAATATTGCTGAGTGCGGCGTAAAACTAAACTCACACACTAAAACTGAATTTAATAAAACATCGAGATGTGTGTAAAACGGCTGTAAACTTTTCATTCTACTGTTAATTTTTGATACTTACGAAATTATATATTTCCGCACTTTTAGACCAGAAAAAAAGAGAATTGTTTTGGATGAAATTACATAAGGTGACCCACATTTTCAATATATAAATACGTGGGCTTAATTTATGAGGGCATGTCAAGGGATCAATTTGTCATACACTTTGTTTTGGCGTAACGTTGGAGGGTCAGACTTCTATAGGCGAGGTCTTGATGACAAAGTGAATCTCATGTCCAGAAGTCATGCTCGTTTAAACAGGGCAAATACGGAAAACTTGGAAGGCATATTGACCGAATCTGCCCTGGACCACCGACACTCCCTATTTGAAATAGCAGCGTTAAACAACTTTTTCCTTTTTTCCGTGTAAATGATGCAATTTATGTACTTAACCTGGTTTCTTAATATAACGTTGCCAAAATTACAAGGAAATAGGTTGAAGTTTTTCACCCCAATATATAGGAAACCTGGTTAATCCGGACAGCTATGCTTAAAACGTACCTATATAAAGCAGCTTAATTACAAATACAAGAATATATGATGATGTTTATCACTATATGGAAATCAAGCTTAAAACGTCATATACAGCTTCAGTTATTAAAATATTACAAGAACATATGATGACATTTATCACCCCCATATACAGGAAACCTGGACAATCAAGCTAAAAACGTACATATACAAAGTTTATCAGTTTCAGTTATTACAAATATTACAAGAACATATGATGACGTTTCTCACCCCAAGATATAGGAAACCTGGTTAATCCGGACACTCATGTTTAAAAAGTACATATATAAAGTTAATCAGTTTCAGTTCACTGGTAGTAAATAGACACAAATAATACATGTGGAGTAAATAAACGCTATTGTTAATCCTTACGATTTGTCTAGTTAATCGCTCCAATCTCTTTGAAATAAATCAGGGAAATATTCTTTGTCTACTCAGCGCAAGTATAGATATTCTAGGTTGGCTATACATTAAATAATACTCCTTCAGCTTACTGAGACGAGAGGATAAACTGCGTCTGGGCACGCGGTGGTTGTGGATTACGCATATGGGCACATCGTGTGCAGCCACAATGATATGGTTGCTAATCCTTGATAGCACTATTTGTGAAATATTCAAGTTAAATATCGGAAATATTTATTACAAAATTACTTGACAAATCATTACGTTGAACATGCCAAAGAATGTAACAGTAAATTGACAAGAATCCTGCTCAAAGCTGTTTTTGAAAAGAAAAGATTTTCATCATCTCTCTGACCCATGAATATTGATTGAAATTAAACGCTTGGATGTTAAAATCGTTGACTTTTAAAAAAAAATAGTTTAAACATTGATTGTTTAAATCGTTGACTTAAAAAATCAGTTTGAAAATTTAATTGATTTTAAAATATGGTTACTGAATGCAGATGTTTAAAAAAAATCCTGTTTCTATTTTCAAACTCTTAAATCTTATCGTCCCTTTCTTATATTTTAAACCCGCGCTGTATTTTCTTTTCAAAAGACGAATTCAAACTATAGAATATGATTCACAGTTTAGCGCTGTCGCTGTGAAGGTCCCAAGGTGAAAGGTTTACAAAGGCTTTGAGTTGTTAGTCCAATCGATGGAGAATTTCTTGAAAGAGAGTCATCGCCCGCGGGTCGATAACGGGGAAACAACTAACTCTGACCATGAAATATCTTGACCAGCGGTCAGCAATTCATATCGATAGCAAGGACATTTAGTGAGCGAGATAATGCTGAAATATTTGTTGGAAAGATAAATGACTGACGTCGATGGCACTCGTCATATGGGCGAATTTAAGTTTGACATATTTTCAGCGTTGTTGACTGTGAGGTATTGAGACAACTGTCGACACGGGAATATTTGTGAACAGAATTCAATAGCCAAGTACAAACCAAGGCTTCTGAAGTGGCGTTGAAATATGTTGCTAAACCAAGGGGTGTATAACAGTTCTGCACACAGAGATCCCAACAGTGCATTGTCGTTTCTTAAAGGGGGGCTGCGATCAGTTAATTGTCAGTCTAAGATAATAAAAAAATATGTGCGTTGTCGTTTATGAACGGGTTACTAAGATCAGCTAATTGTAAGACCACTAAAATCTAAAAATGAATTATTTCCCTACTTCCACCAAGAAATGTCTCAGTTTCACAGATACCTTTAATTACATCGGAATCTTGGTTGGAATAAACACTAGAAAGGAGAGAAAGGATAAAGTCCCCTTTAAATTTAGATGAACAGATTTCACCACCGGGTAATATATGATCATAGATAAGTTGTACAGCTGTCACTTTGTTTTTAACTTGGGAATTTCGAAAAGTTACATACTACTTGATACAACTAATTCTAAATAAAGCGAGCGTCAGCAGCCTCAATACTTGGACTAGCCTATTCGCTGCAAGTTCTATCTCTCCAAACACACTGCTTATAACACTTATACATTTGCGGATTATATTTTTAAATCGGAAGTGTCGGATTAACAAGGGGAGATGCGAACAAGCACAAGACGGCAGGGGGAGATTACCCGATAATCCTTGCTTTCCACTGAGATATTTTACAGACGCAGCTGCTAATTGTTCAGAGGACAGTCTCGGCACTCCGAGAATCCACGAGGATTAACGTGATTTACACCTTGAACTGGGATTATTTGATTTTCACTGTTAAGAGAGTTGGACGATGTAAGGAATATGCGTCATGTCCGCACTGATGACCGCTACCTTGGTATGACCACCAGGCCAGTTTTGGTTAGTTGTAATTATTCAGTGTCCACACTATCCCCATTATTGTATAGGAAAAAACGATAAAACTGAAACACTGTCAATGTGACTCTAAATTTTAACTAAACTTGAACGTAGGTAGCTTTTTCTTTAGTGCATTCTGGGATCGGGACAGTCAAATACAGGACTAAACTTCAACTAAAACTAAAACTACCTGCCGGGGGATTATTTCCACTTGTTATGAACCTTGTTGAAAGAAAATATTTATTGACGGAACATTTAGTTTTACAGTTAGAAAAACAGACCGGTAGAGACAATAAAGTATTTTAATGTACTGTAAGAAATCACTTTATTATTTATTGGACAAGACCCTGTATTGTCGCATAGATGTAAAGAAAACAAGTAACGAAATCAAGCTTATATTTCATAACAGCTGACTTATTTAACATACAAACAAATAAGATTTGCAGAAATATATACGTATACATAGGTGAGAGATAAGTAATATATCTGTACATTGTATATCCCGATGCGCAATATATCCTTGATAAAGTAGGGCTGAGCTAAATTGTCTGGCATATATCCTTCATAGAGAACCTTTTCTGAGCTTAACTGTCTAAACGATAACGGTCTCTATTCACAAAGCACTTTTCGCGCTTCGTCTGTCGCAAGACTATGTTAAACTATGGGACTTTCGACTGCCGTAGCAGTATTATCGCTTTGTGAAACAGGGCCCGATTAATATATCATCGTCATGCAATAACTTTTTACATCTAACAAATTGAAACTTTTAAACCTGGTACTGTCTCATTACTTTGAAGGAACCCAGTGTTTAAATTCCACATGCTTTATATGTAAATATGACAGTTATGGAATATGGAAGAAACAATTTTGTATAAACTATAAGCAGGTTTTAAATAGTCGTTTTCGGAAAGGTAGTTTATTGGTATAAGGCGCCAAAGAAGAGAAGTAGAGTTTCTGTGTCTTTAACTTATAGGAGAGGTGAGATGGGTTTAACATCTTATTTAGCAATATTGCAGCAATATTACGGCGGAGACCCCAGAAATTGACTTCACACGTTGTACCCAATGTGGGAATCGAACCTGGGTTTTTGGCTTGACGAGCGAACACTTTAACCACTAGGCTATCTCACCGCCTCATCGTCTAGTACTAGTAATGAGACAGGGGGTCGTCTAAATGTAATTCATTTTAGGAGAAAAGGATTCTCAAGATGCTTGACAATAGGATCAAGCCCCTAACGTGTGTAAATCTCAATCAGTTTTAATACTACCATATTTAGGCACATTTTGTGAATTGTGGGTGCTACCTATAGGACTTAACATGCTTTTTCGCGATCACCTGGTGTCATCACTGATTTTCACTGAACCATTCATATAATTTTCACATCTTTCTTTCTCTTTACACCAAATGGAATTAGTTTCTGAGGATAGTCAAGACGTTCTATATTTAAGAGTGGGTTACATGCATTACTATTCAACATTTCACTGATGACTCCAGTGTGTGTAAAATGAGATGCAGCCTATGATATATGCGACGTGGATGGAGGTCCTTCAAGTTTTACGTATCCTTTCCTCTGTTAGTAGTTGTAAAACAAATACATTTGATCAAACCTTGCAATCATATATTATGCTTCACTCATGAAAATTTGACTCCTTGCAATCAAAATAACATATGGTTCCTTAGAATAACACAGATGAACAGTTTTAGAGAACCCAACCTTTCATACACTTTTCAAAAGAAAATCACTTGAGAAATGCTGAAGCAATAGTACATGCATGGGCAACCACTTTTATATACTATTCAATTTCTATACATTTCTTTAAATTTACAATGAAAAACGATACGGAGAAAGTCAATAGCCTACGCCTAGACACGACGTTTTTTATGATATATAAAAATCAGTGATGGAACACTAGCAGATATCCAGGCAATCAATTCGATGTACGATTCAACATTTGATAGAAATACATTCCATCTAATTTACAAATACATATAACTGTCGTGTTGAATCGTGCCTAGAGGAATATCCCTACGACAAGTTGAGTAGTATAGGTCTTCAGTAGGTATCCGAGAGCACAGACTTACCTCCCAGTATCACAAGAAGTCCCAGGAGCCTCATCCTCGTAGGGGTCAAGCCGTGTCCAGATAGATCAGCCATAGTAGAGGAGTCCAGGGAAGATGGAGAAAAGTGGGAGCTCGGAGGAGACCAAGACACCTAGAGGTATAAAGTGATGTCAGCTTCTGCTGGAGAACCAACTCAGAGAGCTACTACAAGATGTTGCTCTGGAGAGAGGACTGAGAGAAGATGCTTCTACATCGGCAAGCGGGGTCTTTTATAGCCCCACGTCTGTTTGTTTGACGACAAAGAAAGCGCTATGTAACAATCGAGCTATTGTCAACACCAGAGACTCTGCCTCGACTGAAGGGTAAACAGTCTTCTTCGTTTAGGTTGGCTAGATTTCTTTTGAAGTAACTGCCCACAACTGAAACGACTTGGACCTAATTTCTGGTCCGCTTGTAAACAGCGCGAAAATCCGCCGCTAAAACTCAAGGTATCTGCTTTGCGTGTTTTTTTTCTTTCAATCGTTGTCTCAAGCTCGGCTTCTGCACTGAGAAGTAGATGAGAAGCTCTGGTGGCGAGATTCAGCTCGCATGTTACAGAGGTGCTAGTCGGCCATGCCTGCATCAGCAGCACGTTGACAACATGGCACAAGGCATTGTCGCCAAACTATGAAATGCACAATATGGCTCTACTATCTGAAAATGTTCACAGGGGATATGATGCCTCCATGAATTTGACCAGGGTGGATTATCAAATTAACAAGATAAAATTCTTGAACATTCTACGTGTTTTTGCTGTGTAGTTTTACATTGGTGTGATTTTCTGGCTTCGGGATGCAAGTATTCCAAGATGCTGGACTTCCTGTTAACGTTGTGGAGAAGACGAAGCTAGATTAAGTGTCGTGTTTGTCCATAGAAGACATTCAGCGGAGACTCTTACGAAGGACTTTACCATTTCAAGATGTTGTTCAGTAAATAAAATATGTTCAGGTATTGTATAAGTACACTCTGCCGCAAAAAGAAAACCAACTGTTGGGTATTTAAGACACCTGATTTTGAATACTGTAGTGTAGTATGGGTAGATTTGACATTTCAACTTATCTAATATTAGTACAAGGGCATATCTTTTGGCATAATACAAATGTATAAATTCTAAATGTGTACATATAGCATGTGTCAGAGGTCGTGGTAAAGAATTTGTAAATACATCATAGTGCATACTGGTGCTAAAACGCGCTTTGATTGAAAACCATTTATAGCCTGAAGCGAATGCTTTGGTATCCATTATAGACAACGATTATTGCAACTCCGATTTATTGCAAAGTTTAATATTTAGCTACCATTCTCTATAATTCTCGTTACAGTTAGCGAAAAGGATGTTCTTTGGATCCTATTCCACATCATTACTGTTAAACGTATTGGAAACGATAGCTCTCAGGTCTCATTGTATCTTTCCTGCTTACAATTCTTGAAAATGACAGCCTTTAGATCTCATCCAAGACTATTACGATGTTTTCGATGATTGAAAACGTCCACTTCTCTACTTTGTACGCCAGTAATTCCATTCTCTGTGTGTGTGTAAAGGGTAACGCGTTTAGTTTTAGAAAGTGATTATATGGCTCTGAGATTATATTTCTCGGAAGGTTACCAACGATACTGGGCGATCAAGTTTGATCAAAGTTACTTGGAGTGTAAAATTTCGACACCAAACCGTTACCTTTGTATGTTCTGTATGTATAATACTATAGTGAGATACAGTGTCATAAACTTATTTAAATATTGCCTTAAATACTATAGTGTAGGCCCTGTCATGGGCCCTGTCATGGGCAGCTGCTCGTCGAAATCAAGCAGACAGGTGAATGTTTATCATTGATTGTAACGAGCACAACCACGTTGCAATGTCTATTGGTATCATGCTCTCAGGGTAACTGCATCCTAACTGGTCTTGATATTAGCAATACCATAACACAAAGAATTTATGCATTCACATAGTAGGAGAAAATGTTACTAATATGCACTGAAAACGAAACAATAATAAACACACGATCTACCCATTTGGTACATATTTACAAGAATAATGTTGTACCTCATAGCATAAATAACTGAATAAGGCAGTCGTATTTGGGTAATACAAGTTCCAGCTGAGGTCTGTGGTGTTATATTTAGGAGAAGATCCCCACAACAACATTAAAATGGCGTTTTTAATTCTTGTGCATCCACACGAGGCTGCCACAGGGTTTCGTAGTCACCTCTAGTCCACAATAATTTTAATAAAAATAAATACACGAGCCATAATATATTCTAAAATCACAAGAAGCTGTTAAAAGAAGAGTTTACTGAACGGTTTACTGTACGATTAAAGTGTATCATGCACATGTGTGTATGAATCATTGTTCAATATCATACTATAAGTGCTACATCGTTGTAGCAGCATCACCGTACGATTGGTGCAATGCTTGAAACTGTCATCCTTTACGCTTTATAGGACAGTTAAATGAAAATGTGTAGGCATTCACTTTAACAAATTGTCTTATCATAAATGTGTTCAAGCATGAGCCATTATATAATACATTGTATTTGTTATGAAATAGATGTGCAATATTGATGTAAAATAGGAGTGTATGTTCAAATGCTTAAATATGGTTACAGTTATTTGAATTATTGCAATTACGGAATCAATAGCGCAATAACATGGCAATACAATTAGAATGGTACAGCTATATGGTGTGACGTGCACCCTACCTCCGGAAAGCTGTCTTCATGTCTACAAATAGTAAGATGTCAAGGCAAATTCGTCTATCATTTTTAAGACAAGTGAATAGTTTGATAAGGACGTTGTACTAATAAAACGTACGACTGTCTTTTCAAACAGGTATATTTTAATACAAAAGTGATTGAAAATATATAATTCTTGAATATATTGAATGCTATTAATTTGTCGTTAAATTTTCTCAATCAAACTATCAAGTTCAACATGGATAGGATCCCAGCGATTGCTATTTCAGCTTCATCTGTCCATGAACAAATGCAGTTCATTATAGTTCGCCAATTGTTAGCCATCCAGAGTAACACTTCACATGGCATGTGACCCCACTGACATGACAGATCAAGCTGGACATCATCACAGTTATGCAATCCTCCATTATGTAATTGATTAGTTCTGTTATAATCAAATAAATAGTTCAATATGAAATATACCACTCACGATTTATGTATATTTAGTTGTCTTTTTGCACATAACAAGTATACCCTTCTGCAATGAAACTGTTCCACACATAAAGTAGAAGATGCAACAGTTGGTTGCCAGTGTGACAGTGTAACGTGTTCAACATCTATGATGAATGGTTTAAATAGTTGAGTTACAGTTTTAAGTCTCTTTTCTGATTTCACTCAGTGACGCACAGAAACACATTGTTATACTATACATGAATTAATTGTTCGATTAGGCCACTTAAACTTCTCAACTCGTGTCCTGTCAGTTTGTCTCTGATGATAAACATAGGTTTGAAATGAGTTTGGTTCAATAACACCTGGTGTCATCACTATTTGATTGTGATTCATAAACACATGCTTATGACGTCGTTGGAATAGTGCAATTGATAATTTTAAAGAGAGATATTAATATTTCACTGAAATCGTTTTTGTGACTGTTTTTTTTTAATCAAAAGACAATTCAGTTATAGATTCCAGTTAACATTTACTTACTTTCACGTTCACCTATGTCATTTATGTAAAACTACATCAGTGTTATAGAAACAGAAGAATATCATAATAACATAGACACGGGTTTATGAACAACTATATTTTCAAAGTTGAAAGATGATGCAGATACTTCATCACTCTGAAGATAATAAATACATAATGATATCACAAATTATATCTAAATCTCATCAGGGTATATGTAGAAATTACTTTTAACAAAATACAATTGCAATGAATAATGGTAACTTCTGTGAAATGTTTGCTTATTGAAACAGTCATGGATGCTTATATGAGGTTATCTCAAAATAGTATACATGTATCTCAGTACTGAAAATCATATACTATAAGGGACCGTTCATAATTTATGGGGGGGTAATGATGATTTTCAAGGGGTCACCCATTTTGTTCTGGGGAGGTTGGGGGTCATCAGTTTTGTTTCTAGGGGGTCATCAATTTTGTAAATGAAAATACATGTAAAATTATGCTTGGTATATTGGAAGGGGAGGGGGTCATTGATTTTGTACATGACATGCAGGGGGTCACTTTACTTCATACAAATTTGGGTGTGTGTGTGTCATTCACACTGTACATGGTTCCCATAAAACGATCTGTCATTTTATGGTCCCTAGTGATTTGTCAGTGATTTGTATATCATCTCTGCACGACAGTGTGTATTCAAATGATTAACGTAAGGTAATTACATCGCATTTTAAGCGGCGGTGGGGTAGCCTAGTGGTTAAAGCGTTCGCTCGTCACGCCGAAGACCCGGGTTCGAATCCCCACATGGGTACATTGTGTGAAGCTCATTTCTGGTGCCCCACGCCGTAATATTGCTGCAATATTGCTAAAAGCGGCGTAAAACAAACTCACTCACTCATTACATCGCATTTTAATTACATGACGTAAAATTGTTTATAGGTGACAAACAAATACTACGACTAATAATACAAATCATCTTAATGATAGTATGGGGGTTTTTTTTATTTCGTACAATCTGTGTGTGTGTGTGTGTGTGTGTGTCTGTCTGTCTGTCTGTCTGTCGTTTATTTAGACCTAATCTAATTGTATTGGAAAATGTGATGTCCGGATAAAGGGGGTTTCAATGTAAAGCCAATTTTCAGCTGTGTAGTACTGTTCAATGAAACTGAATTATCAAAAGTCTGAATCTCTTTTATGTACGAGTATACTGATTCAATTATTGATAAATGTTTCGAATCTAACAGATGATTTCAGAGAAAAGTTAAATTAATTATACATACTTCCAACATAACATTAGACGATTGTTTTACTGAACATGAACACATGCTTCAGTTTGAATCGTATCAACGACTTTTAGCTAATATTTCTTTCAAATAACGAAAGAGTTTGGTCTCTTCTATTTGCGTAACACAAACC